ACTCAGCCTGGATTACACCACTGGCTTTTCTGGTTCTCCAGCTTGCAGGTGGCAGGTGGTGGAGCTTCAGCCTCCGTAATCATATAAACCAGAATAACACAGAAACCAAGACCTGAAGCGGCTGTCTTTCCAATGTCAACACACAGAGCCAGGCCCCAGGTCCCTGGACTCCCCATGCAGTGCATTCAGTCCCTTACGTATTTTCCCAAGTCCAGGTTGCCTTTAAAGAATGAGGACATGCGGATTTTGGAACTCTTCTCTACTTTGGATGGCTATTGTGAGGATCCTGCATTTGAAAGTGTCTTTTCAGGGTCTGTGACAAAGCATGAGAAGAGCTTGGTAGGTGAGAGTGGTATTTTGGGACCACAAAGAAGAAGCTATGGAATCTACATTCCAGAGCATGTTAGTCTGTGTCTGTATGATATCAAGAAGGCAAGTCTGGTGGTGATGAACTCCCTCAGCTTTTGGTCATCTGAGAAAGTCTACCTCTTCTTCATTTCTGAAGGACAGATTTTCTGGGTTCAGTAATTCCAGTTGGCAGTTTTACATCTTACTACTTGAATATATCATTCCACTCTTGCCAGAAGCCAGTCCACCCTTGCTGCTTGACACAGTCGCTGCAAGGAAGAAACATCTGCACAGCATATGTTTCAAGGGACCTGGCATACATGGCACATGTTTGCTCGCCCTCTTAGTGCTATGTGTTTTAACCAGGACTACCTCTCCGAGAAAGGTTGTTTCCCCAGGTGGGGATTTTTCCCTGGAGTTAGGGATTAACAGGACTAAGGAAAGGAATAAATCAGTAAAACCCCTTAACTAAGTACCAGGCGGGTAGTTAATCACCTTTACTAGGAACAATCACACTTAAGCCACATAATCTTTACTTAGGATAATCTCCTTCAGTTACTTCCTTGTAGTTTAACAGAACAGTAGAGTAGTGACCTTGGAATGGAGATTTCCTGGCATCAAGGTTTCCGCTGAGAAATTTGTTGACAGACTTATGGGGATTCTCTTGTATGTACCAAGTCACTTTTCTCTTGATGCTTTTAAAATTCTCTTTGTCTTTAACTTTTGATAATATAATTATAACATGTCTTGGTGTAATCTTTGGGTTGATCTTGTCTGTGAACTTTTGAGTTTCATAAATCTAGATTTCCCTACTCCTCTCAAGATTTAGGAAGTTTTCAGCCATTATTTCTTTAGATCAGCTTTCTGCCCCTATCCCCTCTTATCCTCTGGGATCCCCATAATGCCTACATTGATTACTTTATGATATCCCATAAGTCCTACAAGCTTTCTTCACTTTTTAAATATTTTTTCCTTTTTCTGCTTTGAATGAATGACTTCAAATGACCTTATTCAAATTCATTCTTTTTCTTCTACCTTCTTTACAGATTCTTTTTTTATGCTGTTGAAGCTCCCTATTGAATTTTTCATTTCAGTCATTATACTAGTATTCTTCAGCTCCAGAATTTCTGTTTTGTTCCTTTTCATAGTTTATGTCTCTGAACAAATCCTCCTTTTGGTTCATGTATTATTTTTCTGATTTTGTTGAGTTGTCTGTATTTTATTGTAGTTTCCTGGGCTTCCTTGAGATAATTATCTTTAATTATTTATTAGGCAATTCAGAGATTTATATTTCTTTGGGGTCAGTTACCAGAGCTTCATTAGTATTCTTTCGTGGTGTCATGTTTGCCTACTTTTTTCATTATTGATGTAACCTACATTGATGTTTGTTCATTTGAAGAAGCAAACCCTCTTTGCATACTGGTTTGTGTCAGATAAAGACCTTCTGCTGGGATTGCCTGTATGATCACAAGTGAGTGGGGTTGGAGCTGTTGTGAGGTCTGTGGGTGGGGGAAGTGAGTGTGGTTCCTACTGGGTCCCCAGCTGGAAGGAACTACTTTCAGGCCCATAATCAAGCACAGCTGGATGCACAGACAGCAGGCCTGTTCCCAAGGGTGCAGATGGATGTGGCTTCTGCCAGGTTCCTGAATGTGCTTCCTGAGTGGGCCCCTGAACAGGGAGAACTGACTCTGAGATTGCAGTACAGCAGGCCTGTAGCCAATCTCAGGGGTGCATCGGGGTCCAGTGGGCTTGATACCAGGGGTAAAGACTGGCACCACTGGGCCCCAGAGTAGTCAGGGCTGACTCTGGACCATGGTTGACTGGACCTGGAGCTGGAATAACAGGACAGATTCAGGATCTTCAGTTGGGACCAAGGTTGGTGAGTTTCTCACCAGGGGTATTGATGGGTGTAGCTCCCAGGTCCCTTAATGGCTGGGGTTGAGAGGCTAAGTCCAAAGGAGAATGGGACTGCTTTCAGTCTGCAGCTGAAACCACATTCTGCCAGCTTGCCAGTGGGATGTGGGCATGCCTTCTCAGAGCAGCTCTCTTTGGTCTTGGGCTGCACTTGGGTGTTTCAACCTTCTACCTGGTTTCCAAAGTTCCCACACAGGCACTTTTGGCCATGAATGGATGCCACAGAGTTATTTGTAGGGGGAGGATTGAGCTGGAGACCTCCTATTTTGTTGACATCACTCCCTTCTTTTAGCATAATAGTTTTGAGTCTCGTGCATGTTGTGTCATGTATCAGTACTTTGTACCTTTTTATGGTAAATGAATTACTTTTAATAACTGCACATTAGTTCATTCTGCAGATGTAACATAATTTATTTAGCCACCTTCATTCATGGATATTTAAATATATTTTTGCTAACATATTTAATGATTCATTGAACAATCTCTGTGCACATGTACAAATATTTTTGTAGGTTTTTAAGGGTGATTTCTTTTAAACATATGTGGTAGTTATTTAATTAATTAGCAACTAATTTAATTAACTTGTCAGCCAAAATAGCTCAATTCAACTGGCCATTTCAGCCAAATTGCTGAACCAAGAGCCCCATGTTGACACCAAGAAAGCATTCTGGAAAGGAAAAAGTTACAGCGAGAAAGGGACGTGAATCCAGTAGTGATTCTAATACACCTTTCTTCCTAGCCACAGGGGAAAGCATGTGTATCTTCCCAATATAATTACCTTCCCGGTGTTTAATGAATACAACTTTAATTCATGTTATACAATTTAAATCTGCTAGAATTCAAGACATGGGGGAAGTTTCCTTGCACTTGCTGATCTGGTACATAAAAGTAAAGCTTTAAATGTCTGAGGATTATTGATTTGGTTGTTTACTTGGAGAAATCCAGTGGGGTGTCCTTTGAAGCAATTACCCAAAGTGTTTCAATATGTTAAGCAACTCTTAAAAGAAGCCCCAGAGAAGGACCCTGGCTGGTGGAACCAGAGCCCTGGCAAGGCTCATGAAGTTCCAGGACCAGATCTGACAGTTACAAGGGTCACCTGGAGAGACTATTAAAAATGCAGATGCCCACTAAATCTAAATCTATGGCAAGAGGCCTAACTATCTATATTTTTTAAACCAGTTCTTCAAATAATTTTTTAAAAATATATTTTATTGATTTTTTACAGAGAGGATGGGAGAGGGATAGAGAGTTAGAAACATTGATGAGAGAGAAACATCGATCAGCCTGCCTCCTGCATACTTTCCACTGGGGATGTGCCTGCAACCAAGGTACATGCCCTTGACCGGAATCGAACCTGGGACCCTTCAGTCCTCAGGCCAATGCTCTATCCACTGAGCCAAACCGGTTAGGCTCTTTAAATAATTTTAATCTACACCAAAGCTTGAGGACATTAGACCCAACCATTGAAGAACTCAATAGTTTAGCGCCTGCAGCAAAAGAGCCTTCCCAAATGGCCCCTCTGCTCACACTAAGGAATGCCATAAGAATCTGCTGTACAAACCCGGTCTTGTATATTGCAGACATGCTGTTGAAGCTGTTGCTTTGTTCTTTCTATGAAGCTCCAAATGAAAAAACAAAACAAAACAATTTAGACCCACTGGTTCAAGAAATTTTGGTTTATGCCAGAGAAGTAATATAATCTGAGAGACAGGGATCAAGAACAATGAAAATGTGTAATAAATCGTATTTCTTATTTTATTTTTGTGGCCAGGATACTGTCCCCAATTTTATAGCTATCTTTTTGCCTTATTGAACCATATATAACTCTTGAGTTTCTACCTGACATACCCCTCTGTTATATCTTTATTTTCTTATGTAATAATTTAAAATTTTGTTTCCTATTTAACATATTTATATTCTTGTATGCTACCTTCAAGCCTTTGTAGAAGGGGGCATGGTGTGTATGAGACTGGATATGTAAGCTTCTTTGTTTATGTACCTACTAGAGGCCTGATGCACAAAATTCATGCTAGGGGCTCAGCCCTCACAGCCGTGGTGGCTTGCCTCTGCTCTCACAGCCCCGGCTTCGTCCAGAAGGACGTCTGGAAGGTCGTTCGGCTGTCCTGTCTAATTAGCATATTATGCTTTTATTATTATAGATTTAAAAGTTTCAAGTACTGATTATCTTGTGCAGGCAGTAGCATCATGGGATCTCTCTCTCTTCCTCAATCCTTTTAACATTCTTACCAAAGAAGGTGCTAAGAATGTTACTAATGGAAGGGTGAGGGCATTGACCCAAAAGCTGCAAGGAAGATGCTATAATTAAAATGAATGTTTTGGAGAGCTTCACAATGAAACAAATCTAGATGACATTTCCTCCAAGGGTCCTTTTCTCCCTCCCTGTCTTTGCCTCGCCTCTGGGGTTTGATGAGCCTGGTTGGCTCAACAGATCACAGTGTCATTTCCTTCCTCAGCCAGTTTGCTGAGTCCCAGAGTCTGGGCCATAGACAGTTCTCTTGACCTTGGCCGGGCGCCTGACATTTCTTGCAGAAGCAGCGGGCCAGAACGTGTGGATGGAACAGGATAAACCCCTCTCTGCTTCTGGGAAAACATCTCCTAGTTTACATGCTGGTGATGGTGGCTTAGCAGTATCATCTTCAAAAGGCAAGGATAAGATGGTTTTAATAGAGGAAGAGATTTGTTCTACCACTCATGCCTTTAATCTGCTCTGGCAGAACTGGCTCCCACAGTGGGCATGTCTGAAGCAGGGGCTCACATCTCAAGACTTTCCGCTGAGGCCCTAGAGAAGTGAGAGTGCAGTACAGACCGAGACCGGCCTTCACGTGCTGCACAGATGGCAGGGCGCCCACAGGACTGAGCTGGCCACAAAACCTCTTGCAAAGGTCCCTCTGGCTGTTCTCTGAATCGAGTCCCTAAAACACAAAACACTCAAACAGATAAGGCTCAAAATCATAGACAGCAATTATTTGTTTCCTGACCCACCCAGCAACAATGCATGTGTTTAGAATTTGGCTGTGCTCATCTTTACTTTCAGAAGTGAATCAACAATTCAACTGTTTATGTCTCACCAGCAGTAGCAGTCCTTGCTCTCATGCTGATGAGTAAATTTTTTCCTATGGAAGCAGGTGGGTTAAGTGGTTCACAGCACCTACAGCAGCAAGCTATGAACAGAAAGCAAAGGGAGTTATCGCTCTAAAGAGGTATTGGGAATTTCTGTGGGTTACTGACACGTTTTCGTAGCATCTTGTGTTGCTTTATCTGCACAAGGGCAATATTCTCTCCTCTGGCAACTGAGGCACATGGGGTGCAAAGGCTGAGCCTAGAATTATGCGCCGGCAGGTAGTGGGTCAGCATCACCTCCATGTGCCGAGACTCATGTCCTGCCATACTCCTTAGTGCCAGCTTGCAGCGGGTGATGAGCTGACTGGCCAGAGAAGAGATCAAAGGCTGGGAAAGGTGTAGGTGGGGTGAGGCATGGCAGACCTGAGGGAGGCCACCTACCTCAGGCCCAGCATCCTCTAAAATGAAGTCATCATGTTTTTCCCCACATTCTTTCAGCTCAATTAGTTTTACCAAAGACATTTAAATACTTAATGCTTTAAAATGATCTGTTTTTTTTAATTCAGTAATGTGTTTGTTTTTGCCTGTAAATGATTTGACTTCACAGCACATAAAATAAATGGGAAATCTCAGCATCGTTCTCATGTTAGAAGTCGCTATCCAGAAATATCTATTTTGGTGCCGCAATTTTTTTTTCTTTCTCTTTCATTTGGGAAAGATGAAAACTGCAAAGTCGTTTATTTCCCCTAAATTAGCCATGTGACAACTCAGAGCTATTAATAACCACTCCCCACAGCATCCCTGTTTATGTCTCAGAGGGGTCAAGTGGCGATTGCCACGGAGGGAGGATGGCCAAGATAAATGCGAGCCACGTAGCAGAAATGCAGCCTGACACAGTGGGGAGGGGAGGACAGATGTGACCCAGAGGTCCCCCAGCCGCTGCCAACTTGTAGGTGTAAGAGGGACCATGGCACGGATTGCCCTTCAGCTTGACTGCGAGTCGAGCCCTCGGGATGGATGGCCCCCTCCACACACTCCTGGCGCTGCTGGGGCCGCTAATTCTGCCCTTTACTGTGTCTATTCCTACCTCTGCTGACCAACTCCTGCTGCCCCGGGGCTGGCTTCCCGGGGCCATGGCTACTTCTGTCTCTCAGGACCTGGAGGGTGCTGCCACTTGGTCCCAGGTCTCAAACAGGAAGCCGGCTTTTGCTTAATTTTACCATCACACAGCAATGTTCCTATTCCTTAGGTGGGTGTTGTTTGGGGCCAAATCACACCCTCCAGCTACTGTAAACCCTTGCATTTTCACCACTTCCCAGAGGCTTTCTTCCTATAGCTCAGTGGTTCTCCACCTTGGCTGCACTTTAGAATCACCTGGGAATCTTTTCAAAATCCTGATTTCTGGGCCTCATCCTCCGGAAAGTCTGTTTCTTTGTTATGGGGTGGGGCCACAACATGAGTAACAAAGAAACAGAATTTCCAGAGGATGGGGCCCAGAAATCAGGATTTAAAAAAGATTCCCAGGTGATTCTAATGTGCAGCCAAGGCTGAGAACCACTGCTATAGCTGGAGCCGGAGTGACGTGGGAAGCCCTGCTGCCCTCCTGTGGGTGACCACCACGAAGACCAGAAACGAGCTCACCTGCAGAGTGAGAAGAACGCACGCTGGTGTCGGGTGGCCTGGGTCACATCCTGGCTGCCTCGGGACCTCCCCAGCAGTGGCAGACCTTTCTCTCATTCTGATGAGTAAATTCTTTTCCTAGGGAAGCAAATGGGAGCAGGTGGATTAAGTGGTTCACAGCACCTACAGCAGCGAACTAAATCACCTACTCTCTTCTTGCCTCCGTTTCCCCATCTATAAAACGTAATTATAATATAGAGGGTGTCCCAAAAAATGTACACACACACTTTGAATAATTATAAAGGTGGTGCTGATTAAAATGCATTTCATTTTCAAAATGAGCTATCACCTGGTAAAATAGGTATGCATTTTTTGGGGATACTCTGTATTTATACCTTCTAAAGGCCGTGTGGTATTAAGTGAAGGGAATCTATGATCTTAGCAAAGAAAGGTATCACAATAACAATGATGAGTGAGTCCAAGTTTTCTGAAAAAAAATGGAAATCTCTCCAAAATGTCCAGATTTGAGGAAATCTCAGCAGAAGAAGCAAGAAAAACTCACCTGCAGGGAGAGCACTTCTCTGAGGAGAAACCAGGCCCCAAACACAGACCAAATAATCTAAGATGCCCTGGGGGCTCCCAGGTCCCCGTGAAGCATGAAGTAGTCCCCAGAATAACCTCTTCAGCTTTCTGAAATGCTCAGGATAAAGACACTAAAAATTGCCTTCTGGGTTAAAATATAAAATGCTTGAAATGTCAGACCGTGCTGATCAGAGAAGTAGCAATTGAAACACCTGCTGTTTCTGTAATGGACAGTAGTTTGTAAAGGACAGCATCCTTGTCCACTGACCATAAAACATTCAGCGACAGAGCTGCATTCAGTTTGCAATGCCAAAGGTTCTGCTCAGGCAGGGAAGGGCTCTCCTTCAAGTTAAAATCATAATGGCCAGGCATCAGGGTTTCTTAATTTCCTTCACAGCTGAGTCACTTTTGCTCCGAAGAAGACTACAAAGTCCTTTAAATCCACCCCCTCATTTCCATTTCTTGTAGAGTGATCATTGTCATTCTTTCCGGCTGCCTAACATCTGAAAGCCCTTAATACAGCCCACCTTTAATATAGAAGCTAAAAGTGCAAGATACTAATTTTTCCAGCTCCCCTTGCAGCTAGGCATGGATGTATGGCCAGGCTCAGTGGATCATGTGCCCCTCCCTGCCTAGACTCCAAGTCAGAGGTTAGGAATGGAAGAAGTCCTAATTTCGATCCAGATTCCTGAGTCATCCTATCTAATAATAGACAAACATGGTAATTGACCGTACCTTTGCTATGCCTCCCATTGGCTAATCAGCTAGATATGCAAATTAACTGCCAACAAAGATGGCGGTTAATTTGCATATGTAGGTGTGAAGCGGCCAAGCGAAAACTGAAGGCGACTCCAGCTGGGGCAGCGAAGGCTTGAAGGCGGCTCAGGCCAGAGCAGCGAAGGCTTGAAGGTGGCTCCGGCCAGAGCGAAGGCCTGAGTCCCGAGTGCCGGAGGAAAACCGGTGCAGGCAGCCAAGGGAAAGGAAGGCCTATTGCATGAATCTTTTCATGCAACAGGCCTCTAGTAGAAGATAATTCTCATGTATCCCAGTGGAGGGTTGGGAAAAGCATTATAAAGTGGCAGCCATTGTACAGCATGACCTTGAGCATCATTCCAATTTTAAGGATCTCAGATGTAGTTCTCAGGCCTTTCCAGGACTTCTGTGAGTTCTCATTATGGAGCTGAAGCTCCTCCTCTTGTTGGCATATACTTCCTTCTCTTCACCTGGCTACCTCCTGCTCATTCCTTTAGATTGGGCTCAAACACCCCCTCCAACAAGAAGCCTTCCTTGACATACCTCTCCTTCCATCAGACTATTTAGACTCCTTGACATGAGGGAATAAGTCTAATTTATTATTTTATCACAAGTGCCAGACTGTAGATATTCAATCAATACATCTGTATTATTTTCCTACTAGTGGCCCAGTACACAAAGTTTGTGCACATTAAAAGGGAATTAATTAGAGGAAATATTTTAATATTGCTATTTGCCCTTTATAATATAAGTGTCATGGATGAAAGAAAATTAGTAAAATGTATATGAAAATCTTCCTCCTGTCAGAGTCTGGGTCACACCATGGGACCCAGAGTCAAGTCCCCGCCCATCTGCGCGTGCCTCAAAATCGTGAGAGACCCAGACCTGGCCGGTCCCAACCCCATTGGGTGAGACCCAGACCGGCCAGCCCCACTCCTATTGAGCCCTGCTGGGCAGGAGGCACAACCTCAGGTCCCCTCGCCTGGTGGCAGGCAGTGGGGGTGCAGCCTCAGGTCCCCTGGCCAGCACCGGGGTAGAGGGGGTGCGGCCACATACCTAGGTTGCAGGTTGCATCCAGGTTTGCATACTGGAGGCAGGCAATGGATGTTTCTCTCTTTCTCCCTTCTTTCTCTACAATCAATTAATTCTCAGGTGAAGATTTTTTTTAAAAGTAGAAAATTGCTAGTCCTTTAAACCCTCTCTGTCCTCCCACCCTCGCCAGACATAACCATTAGCCTAACTTTTTAATTATTATTTCCTAGATTTCTTTATAGTTCAACCTATGTAACCGTCCTAAACAATACAATCTAGTATTGCCTGCTACTCAGTCATGTAAATGGAATCACACAGTAGCCAGCCCTGCTCACACCCTGCTGGTGCTGGAGCCACCACTCGTACCAGCTGCTGGTGCCCGGTGCCGGTTTAGATCACTTGGTGCCGGGTGCGAGCCATAGCTGCCAGCCCGGATCGCCCCTGAGGGCTTCTCTACCTCCCCCTGCTCCTGAGGAGTGATCAGGGCAGCAGCCGCCGCTCACACCTGCTGTCAGTGCCAGCCCCACTCGCACCGCTGCTGGCACTGGCCCCAATCGGTCCACGCCATCAGCAGGTGCGAGCGGGGCCAGTGCTGTCAGCGTGTGGGAGTGGCGGTGGCGGGAGTGGGGCTGCCAGCATACAGGGGACTGGGGACTGCGGCGGGAGGGCCCAGGTGGGGA